ACTGCTTTGAATGAGGCAATGTCGAATTTGAGAGATATTATGTCGATTTATAATGACAATTCAGCTGAAGAGATGGATGTGAATTCGTTTGATAGAGTATTGGAATTGACGATCGGTCCAGCATTAGAGTTGATCACTAAAATGGCAGCTCTAAGAGTTTCGAATTGGGATCAATCAATCTTTTGGATTAATTGTTTAGAGTTCATGATTGTAGGTCAAGAGGATTTCCATCAAACTTTGGATGTTTTTTTTTCTTAACTTTCTTGATCTTGAACTGATTTGAATGAATTTCTTTTAGAGCACTCTTACCCCATTTAAATTCACTGAAGAGAAAAAAGAAGAATTGGAAGTCGAATTAAAGAAACATTTGAAGATCTTAACTGAAGAACACTTTGATCAACTTTTGAAATCATCCGGTTTACAACCTATCATTCAAGCCTTAGATACTAAAGAAGAAGATGTAAGTGACTTTTTGAAACGAATTCTTTGATCAACCCTAGTGAACTGATTGAAATGAAATGAATTTCGGTCCGGTTTTTAGATTCCATTATCAAGAATTGAAATCAGTTCTTCAAAACAGATCAGATCATCAATCCAATCATTTAATGAGTTTTTAATGAATTTAGATACATTAGTCTCGAGTCGATTGGTTTTGATTTCGTCTAGTAAACTTTCTTCTAACGTTCATCATCAAAGTTTGATGATGATCAATTTAGCTTATGGTCGAATTTGGGATGCGGTGATGGATCCTAAGAATCGATATGAGTTTGGTTCGACTTTATTGGTTAGAAGTAAAGAAGAAGTGAAGACTTTAACGGGATAGATTGGTTTATGATTTTTGTGAAAAGAAGGAAGAAATTGTTTGGGGGGGATGGGATTTTTTTTGGATTGGTTTTTGTGAAGATGAACTAGTTTGGTTTGGAGGGAGGGGTTTTTTGTAGGTTATAAGTTGAAAGGGTCTTTAAGTGTGATAGTGAAAAAGAACTTGATCATCATTGATTTTATTTTTTGTTTGAAGAAAGAGAAATGAGGGTTGAATGAATTGGTGTTTGAGTTAAGTTTGAAATAGGAGAGCTTGAATGGTTGAGTTGATGAGAAAGTGATAGGATCTATGGACTGATTATAGGATCTGTTTTGATGAATGCTTTGAGTGGTTTGATTTTATTGCCTGAGAACTGATTTGATTGATTGAAGCAAGAAGTGGGGATGGTGGTATGTAACATGTAAAGTTGAGTGAAGTGTAAGGTGTATGTAGAGCTTAAGTACATAGCTAAGTAGTTAAATCGGAAGAGACTTAAGTACTTAAGCTAAGATGATCAGCCGAGTTGAATTCGATGGATCACTTAACCCAATTGGCATTCACTTCAACTTTTCGAATCAATCAAACTCAAGAATGGCAAGACGAGATATCAGAGTAGTACTTTGTGGAGATGATGGAGTGGGTAAAAGGTCAATTCAATCTTTCTTTCTCTCTCAAACAAAAACAAACCATACCCAACTTGAACTCATCTTACATTCCTCATCCTTCACTTTTAGTACTATCATCACCGCTTTGATCAAAGAAAGATTTTACGAATTACCCACTGGATTAGTTTTACCTGAAGTCTCAATCCCACCTGAAGTGACTCCTAACATTACCACTCATCTCATCGATACCTCTCGTAAATCAAACTTCAAAATCTATTCACTTTCTCTTTTTTTGACAAATCACTTTGAATGACACACGTTTTTTTTCTTCTTCTTCTTCATTTTCATCTTAGCACGTCCAGAAGATAGACATCATCTTGAAACTGAAATCAGAAGAGCTCATGTGGTGGTGATCATTTATTCGATTGAAAATTCGATTTCATTTGATAGGATTACGACTTATTGGTTACCTACCATTAGGTCACTAGGTGTGAATGTGTAGGTACATCACCATTCTTAAGAAAGAAAAAAAATCAAACACTCTAAAATTCCAAAAAAAAAACACCAATTTATCATTTTGGAATCGAATTGATGATTTGGATTGATTTAACTCTATTGGTTGAACTTTAGTCCAGTGATTTTGGTTGGAAATAAGATTGATTTGAGGGATGGTGAGGATGTGACCAATGAAGCTTTTCAATCTGGTCAGTTACTTTCATCCACTTATTTCATCATCGAATTGATGATCTTACGACTTGATTTGTGTTTTTTCGTTCATTCATCTCATTTAGAATTAGCACCTTTGATGAGAGAATTTAAGGAAGTAGAAACGTGTATCGAATGTAGTGCAAAGGCTTCACTTGTAAGTTTTAAGTTTCTATGCTCTTTAAACATCTTCACCCGTTTCTCCCTTTTGAAGTAAACTGACCAGGATTTTCGAATCACGTCTTAGAACATTAGTGAAACGTTTTATCTAGCTCAAAATGCTGTTTTACATCCAACAGCACCTCTTTATGATTCAAGAGAACATGTAAGTTGAACTTATGAACTCGAAGGTTGATTCGTTCTGATTTCTGATCGTGTTAACTATTTAGTCAATGAAACCTGCCTGTGTGAATGCTCTAACACGAGTGTTTAAATTGTGTGATGTCAATAAAGATAACGTATTAGATGATGATGAATTACACGAGTTTCAAGTAAGTGAAAAGTCAAAACAAAAAAAAGCCAATTTGAGACCCATTCCTTCTTCATATGTCTTGACACCCAACCTTTTTTTTTTTGGATGGTTGAATTTTAGCGTAAATGTTTTGGTGTACCATTACAATCCAAAGAACTCAAGACGATCAAAACTGAAGTCTTACAAGGAAATCCCGATTTTTTAACTTTTAAGGATCAGATCACTCTCGACGGATTTCTTTATTTACATACTTGTTTTATTCAACGTGGAAGATTAGAAACTGTTTGGGGTGTATTAAGAGCGTTTGGATATGGTGATGATCTTACATTAAGTGAAACGTTTTTGTCTCCTAGGTTTGTTAAAAGTTGATGATTTTCAAATCATGTGTTCAAATATGGATGCTAAGCTAAGAATCTTGTTTGTTTTTGTTTTAATAGATTTGATGTACCGAATGATTGCTCAGCTGAACTTAGTCCTTCTGGTTATGCATTTTTCACTGATTTATTTGAAACGTTTGATCAGGTAAGTGGGTTTTTGTTTGAGAATCTTTCATTTTTTTTTCAAAGATCATCATCAAGTTTTCTAAATCTTACCTTGAGGTTTAATTTGCTTTTTTAGGATTTAGATGGTGCTTTAAATACAGAAGAGTTAGAATCACTTTTTAGTACTTCACCTGGAAATCCATGGATTAATCAAGGATTTCCTGATACGACGATTACGAATGATAATGATCATATCACCTTACAAGGTTGGCTAGCTCAATGGAGGTAAAGCTTTTTTGAAGCCGATTGAAAATTTCTTTTGATTCTAAAAAAGACTGAACTTGAATCAATTTGATGATCTTCTTAGTATGACCACTTTACTCGATCATCGAATCACATTGGCTTATTTAGCACATTTAGGTTATCCATCACCTACTACAAATGCACTTACATTAACTAAACCAAGAAAATCAGAAAGGAAAAAGAAAAACAAAGTGAATCGAACGACCTATTTGATTTATGTCTTTGGAGCGGTCGGATCTGGTAAAAGTTCTTTATGTCGAAATTTAGTTAAGAAAAGATATAGTGAAGATTCTCATCATCATCATCATCATCATCATCATCATCATCATGATCCTATTGGGAACAATGGGAACAGTAGTGGTAGTTTAACTGTTGTGAATAGTGTAGAATTTAAAGGTGCTGAAAAGTATTTAGTGGTGAGTCTTTTTCTTAAAAAGAAGATATGATCATGTTCTTTTTATAGGCTTGCTTTTTTTGGTAAAGTATTTTTGAAATCGATATAATCTCTTTTAATTTTTTTTTCCATAGGTTCAAGAATTTGCGGCTTGGGAAGGTGAAGAAGTTTTAAGAAACTCAAAAAGATTAGGAATGGCAGATGTATTAGTATTTGTTTATGATAGTTCAGATACCAATTCATTTTCTTATATAAGTAATTTAAGAGTAAGTTTTTTTTCAAACATTCGAATTTCTAAAAAGAAACGAAAAACTTGAAATTGGATGAATTGATTTTGAATTTGAATTTGAATTTTAGCAACAATTCAAAGTGGATCATATCCCTACTCTTTTTGTTGCAAGTAAAGCTGATTTAGATCTTGCTCAACAGGTTTGAACTATTTATATTTATCTATCTCTTGATTCTTTTAACACGATAACTCAAATTCTCGTTTCTTTTGATTATGATCTTCTATAGAGACATGAAGTTCAACCTGATGTATATTGTCGTAAATTAAGTTTAAGAGTACCTGTAGCAATAAGTATGAAAACGAATCAAACTGCAGATCTTTGGCCCATACTTTGTGGAATAGCTATTAATCCGTAAGAGCTTTTTTTCATATCCCTTTACTTTTATGAACGATGACTCATGATTGATAGATTGATATTTTTGTTGGGGGGGGGACGGAATTTCAGTAATTCTTCAATTCCAGGTGGTTTAGAAAAAACGTCAGATAAATTGACCGTTTATTTATCATTAAGTGCTTTCATTGGGGTCACTTCTGCTTTAACTTATTTAGTTTATAAGTCTTGGAGTAAACCTAATTCAGTGTTTTCGAGTGGTAATGTAGTAGTAGGAGGAGGAGGAGGAAGTTGGTTTAGTTGGGTAAGTGGTAGTAGTATTAGTAGTACAAGTGAAAGTTTAAAAGGAGTTCATCATTAAAGGTTTTGAAATTGGAAAACAAAAAGAGAGGGAATTGATGATGTGAAATGAGATTAGAAAATTGAAAATTGAAAATTTGTTCTTTTTAGAGATTGAAGAGGAAGTAAAAAAAAAGTGTACATATTGGGTTTTTTCTTTTAGTTGAGATTTGATGATGAGTTTTATGAGAATTGAATTGATGGGTTTCTTGGATGATGATGATTTAATAGATTTATATCGGGATTGATATAACCGAATTGGTGAGAGAAGGGGACTGGCCCCTTTAGCTCAGTGGTAGAGCGTTCCACTCGTACCAAACTGAATCTATTAAATGATGAAGTTGAATATGGAAAGGTCTGGTGTTCAATCCACCAAAAGGGCATGGGTATATTTTGTTGATTTGCTTGAGTGAGAGATGTTGTATGTTTTTTGTATAAAGAAGATGTAGATACTCTTCATCAATAATTGAAATGTTTGTGAGAAGAACTTCTTTGTTTTCCTTGAAGATTTGAAATCATCCATTTACCATGATTGTGATGAAATGTTTTATGTGATAGTGTGTACATAATGGATTTCAGTATCCCCACCACCACCACCCCCCCTCCTGTTCAGAGCTAGTGAAATCCTTGGTCAATGTTGACACAAGTGGTGACAGATGCATACTTAGCTCATCTGTACTGAGATTTCTCCCTGAATTCTTCTCTCACAAAAAGTGCTATCATCAATAACAATTGGATGAGAATTTATTTATCCAACTTTGGATTGGACTATGTAATATTGAGTTGATTGATTTGTTCACTTCTTTTGAGTAAGTGGTGAACGTTTGTATTTTCTCATCAATGAATCAATCACCACATTCATTATTGAGTCCAAATCATTTGTGATGATTGTAAGGATTGAACCCATTTCCCAGCCATGGGATTTAAACGGTTTTGAGCCTAAGGAACAACAGGAAGAGTTCCTCTGCCAAGCAATTGCATGATTCCTAAGTCAGAAAATCCAACTCTACCACCAGCTAGATTTTGATTATCAAGTCAGTTCAACTATGTGTTTGAGAGGTACTCAAGTATAAGGTATTACTCACAAGAATCATCAATAAGCTTTTTCATGACTTGATGAAGTGGTTCAGGACACATTATATCAACACTCTTGGCCATGACTTCATTGAAGGTCTGAGTCACTTTTGATTGTACAATCAGAGGTGATGTCTGAGTCTTGATAGATTGCATGTTAGATTCAGGACATTTCACATTCAAGGTTCTGGTTGGAAGAGGTGTATAGTCTTCAGATCAAATCCAAGACATGCTTCAAGAGAATTCACTACATAGGATATTTTAAAAGGATCTCACTCACCATGATCATCAATTGAGTTGGAGTTGATTGATCCATTAAGAACTACCAAAGATTTGGAATCCAAAGAAAGAATAACTGAAGACTTATGGGCTGTGTTTTCTACATATAGAAAAGGAAAATCAGATAGTGATGATCAGAACACCTTTGGGTATCAAACTTGCAGAACTCACTCTTCATAGGATGTGATTGTAGTGTGATGCTTTGAGGACAAACAGAAGGCGGAGGTGGCAAGTCTAGGAGCTCATCTTCAACATTTCTCTTGCCTGTTGCTGTCAGACATTGATTTGCATTGTAAATCAACACACACTTCTTGCAACCACGGCCAGAGATCAACTTGAAACAAAGGTAATTTTTGGTAATCAATGGGTTACCCTTGCCTAATTTGCCCAGGTAATACCATTCTTTATAATAAGGTGGTAGGCTATGAAGTCCAAGGCCAACTAATTGTTGAGGTGAGGGAAAAGTTGAATGATTGTCTCTAAAGTAATCACAGGCCTCAACAGTCAAATCAAGCATCCAATGTGGCTTGGTGAAATTGGATTCAAATCTATAACTGATCAATTCAGTTTCAACAAGTTAAGAATTAAGAATATAACCAATATTAATCTTTATGAATCCAGTGGTTTTTGACTGCTTTGGTTCTGATCCTTTCTTCATCTTCAATCTTGCAGATACTCTAGCTTCAGGATTGGATGGGTATGGAATAGTGTCCTTTCAATGATTGGAAATCTACTGTTGACGTTGGCAAGATTGAAGTTCATGAGCCTGGGTAATTGCTCTTTGAATACTATTCTCAACTTGCATTGCATAATGATCTGATGCAGGTGTAACTGTGTCAAGAGCCAGAGGTGCCAATGCGCAAGATCTTGAGTCAAGTGAAGATCTGGAATGCATTGAAGGTTGATAACTTGAGGTGATGGATGTCTTGGATAGTGAGATAAAGCAAGGTTGAGAACTGAAAGTGCTTGGCAGGATGATTGACTTAGCTGGCAATGGACAAGATGCTGAATTGTGATCTGGCCCAGAGGCTTGATTAAAAAATGCAACTGCTTTTGGATATTTCTTGCATAGACCACATAATCTAGTGTTGAGGACCTCAAACTGTTCTGAGCAGAAAAAACAAGGTACCATTTTGGTGATGTTGGTTGGGTTATCTTTGTTCCATTGACACGGGTCACAGATTGCTTGAGTCTTATTTCTATCTGGGTAATCTTCACCACAGCAACAACATAGAGGAGAATCATGATTGGGATTGGGTATACTTGAAGCCATTGTTAGAAAACCAAGCAAAGATGATTTATCAAGCTACATATCTAGAGCAGGTAAAGCAGAAAACAAACTGCCAATAAAACACAGCCTTCAACTTGAGGGTCACAAGGTGGTTTGTGTTGGAATCCAGACACAAGTATGGATGGATTACGCCTCAGGGCTTGTAAGAGCTGGTCACTGATCAAGAGTATGTGATTACAAGCGCGTGTGTGTATTGATAACAATACATCATTCTGATGGTTGAACAAAAATCCTCTGAAATGATCCTGGAAACAATTCCTTTGAATGCCATCCACCAGAACATACTTGTGCTTTTCTGAATAATCAAAGGTTCAGTGATCTGTGCGCAAGAATGGTTTTATGGTGAGGGTGGGTAGCAAGGTGGGTAAGGGTGAGTTGTGTATTGAGTAGTGAGTTGTATTGACGTTTGGGTTTTGAGGTTTGTCCTCCACCCTCCTCTCTCGTCCATCGTCCATCGTCCATCGTAGTAGTAAGACATAACAGACATAACACATACATACATAGTTGCTATGTTGTGTGTGTTATGAATTTAAAGTTTAATTTGAACTTTCTTGGTAAACTGATATTCGATTTACCAAACAAATCAACTTTACAAAACTGATTACTTTACCAAGACCATCACCCCTTTACTTTGACTACAACTCAACTCAAGAATCCAATCAAACTTAGAAATCAAAATTCCACTCAAACCAATACTTAAAATGATGGAAGAATTAGACGCAATGACTTCAAATTCGATACCTACTTTAGAAGATAAATTAGCTAATATGGATTTTAGTGAAAAGTTACTTGACCTTTGTTTCATCTTGGACGTACGTAGGTTTTTCAATTTTTTTTTAAATTATTCTCTTTTACCATTTCAAGGAAAAAACACTCTTTTGGACTTTTTTTTCGATCGAACATGAAAAGTCAACGATTTTGATCTTTACTTATTTGAATTTGATTTTAAAGAATCGTATTACCACTTTCTTCTCTTTCTCTTTTGATCAAATTTAAACTAATCAATTGTTTTTCTTTTATTAATTGGTAACAAAAAAATAATAGACAACTGGAAGTATGGGTAGTTATATTACAGTTTGTTCTTTGACTTTTTTTCATTTATTCAAAATACACTAATTGATGTCCAATAAAACTATGAATCTAAACTTAAATCAATATTCATCAATAGGCAGCAACACAAAATATCGAATTAATTTGTGATGAAATTATCAATTCTGAAAGACTTGCTTCTCCTGAATGTTTAAGAATTGGACTTATTGCTTATCGGTCAGTTTTTCTTTTGATCGAATTTATATCCGATCAGGTCGGTCTTTAATTTTGATGACTCTAATTGATGTAACTGATGATTTTGAATTTTGGTTAATTTGTCTCTTAGTGATCATCCTCCACAGGATATGTCAGTTTGTATATCTATACATATATAAGTTTTTTTATTAATTTATCTCATTTTTGCTTCATCACAACTTTTTTCTTGGAATAGGTCGTATATCACATTAAAGTTTGATTTTACATCTAATCCTAAAATCGTTCAAGAACATCTTAAATCTCTCTGGGCCTCTGGTGGTAAGAATGCTCTTCTGTTTGTCAAAGTACTCTTCAATTCAACTACTTCTGACCCTATAAGCTCTATTTTATTGCTTTCAGGTGGTGATGGACCTGAGGCTGTAACTGCAGCGATGCATGAAGCTTTAACTTTAGATTGGAGGCCACAAGCTAGTCGGATGGCTGTCCTCATCACCGATGCACCTCCCCATGTACGTCTGTTTCATTAATCCTATCATCTCACTCTAAATTTTAATCGAATCTGTTTTTATCTTTGGACAGGGAATCGGTGAATATGGGGATGGGTTTAGTAAGGGAGATCCATCAGGTCATGATCCATTACAACTTGCTCGTACTATGGCCCAGAATGGAATCAGTCTTGTTAGTCATCACATTTGTTTGATCTTCAACCCAACTCTCAGTCCTCTGTAAGCTGATTTTCATTATTGGTTCACACTCACACAGTTTGTTGTAGCTTGCGAGCCAGCGTTTTCGGGTTATATGTATTCAAATGATTTCTTCCGAGCAATAACGAATATCACCTCAGCCATGATGTTACCATTAACGACAGCCAATCTATTACCACATGTGATTGTAGGATCAGCATTCGAACAAATGGATATGGAAAGATTAGTAAGAGAGGTTGGACATGCAGTGGCTGAACGGGTGGTAGGAGGTCAAGAAAGTGTAGATGATGTGGCGAGAGAGTTACATGAGAAGTTGTTGTTGAGAAATGAAAGTACTAAACAATTGTTTGTAGAGGATATTTATGTAAGTTTGATGGTCTTTTTTCCTGTTTCTTTTTTTATGAGGATTGAAGGATTAATCAATTTTGAGCATTTACTTGGATTAGCGTGATACACCGGAAGCCAGGCATAATGTTGAAGTATGGCTGAGTGCACCGGATATCCAAACAGCTAAACCATTGCTAAAGAAAGTGAGTTAGACATTTCACCTGACGATCTCATATATTTATCCAAGATTGATCTAACTTGATGATGATGACTAGATCATTGGATCAAGGTTTACAGAGAAATATTTACAATCACGTTACACAGCCGCTTTTTCATCCACTAGTTCATCATCCACAAGAGTTTATCCAATTCCCTTACCATCACGTAAAAAAACGAATGTATCAAGCTCAATGAAATCTAATAATTCGATCAGACGAACGTCAAATCCTAGTAATACTTCATC